AAGCATGACCAAGCACCATTTCAGTTAACAAACAGAAAGATGCCAACACATAACTGGAAAAGATTTTAAGATCAAAAGCTGCCTGCAATTCAGAAACAACATATTAATAGCCAATAAGGTTAAACATAAGATATGCCAAGCTTTAACCCATAATAAAGGGTCTTGGACAGTTTAAATGTCAAACTATGTCGCCGGTTCAAATGACATAACTGCAGTCTTAAGTCCGCATTTGTTTTAGTTGTCCTTTTAGACTTGCATAAATATATTGTTTATTTTACTAGTTATGGACTAAATATTGGAGTTATCCAATTTGAAGTCATTGTGATAAGAAACAAACCTTGATGGAAGAAAGAGAAAACAACTCATGATCAATATAACCATCTTCCAGGGCATCTATTTGCATTCCTGTTGCCTTCCGTGATCTGTCCTGCAAAACAGTGAGGCAAGAAATCAGCAACTAAATGAGTGTGCATTGCAACATCCTACAATTTACAAGTAAGAAAAGAAAACATGAAATTTCCAACAGAAAGGACTAACACAGAAAACCATAAGCATCTGAAACATCAATACCAAACCTAAAAGATGAAAGCTTAATTCTTCCAAAAAGAAAAGAAAGGGAAAAGAAAAGCAAGGATCATCTAATTACTATCATTTACATAGAAAAACATTGGAATAATCAGAAAATTTGTTCCATTTCGTGATTTCTGTTATGTGGTAATATGCACTAAGACACAAATATATGGCCCAGAGATTTTTTAACGAGGCAATAAACCTTTGCTCTTCTTTTTGCAAGTAGCTTCTTTGCTCTTTTCTTCTTATGTTCCATAGCATGTGTCAGCTCTTCCATTTCATTGAGTAATTTATCATCTTCATTCTCCTCATCCCCCTTATCAACATCTGTGGTGGTGGTAGAAGAAGTAGCTTTTTCTGAAGGAGACAAAGCTTTTCTCAATTGCATCCGCCACCTATATGAGAAAGAAACATTAAAATACTAAATCAAAGGAATGGTGCCGTGTAATACATGTCATATCTATGCACACAAATCAACATTTTTCTTTTCACCTCATGAATGATTGTAATTCAAATCAAGCTTCCACTTAAAAGGTTATGACCAAGTGCACTGATTAAAGTTTGACTTTCACAGATTTTTATATTATAAAAAATGTTTAGAATAAATTTCAAAAGGAGAATTTGAAAGAAAATATGTTTCTTACTTCAAAAGGTACTTGAAATCTTGCTTTCCCAAAACACGCAAATCATCACAAAGAGCTTTGACCTGTCAAGACAGCACCTAAGTAGGTCATTTAGATGGAGAAGGATGGAGGCACGGTTAAACAATAGCAATTGTAAAACCTAATCACCTCTTCTTGAGTAGAACTGTGACACTTAATAGGCAATGAAGCTGGATCCTCAAAGGTTATGAAGTAACAGAACCAAGGATTTCAAGAGGAGTGTCAGACCAAATGAAGTCAGCAGCTGTAGACACCTTCTTCGGATTGTCTCCCCATCTTCGTAACTGTAATTGGACTGTTGTTAGCAACAAAGCACAACATAGATCCCCATAGAAATAATATCCACAGGCACCAATAACAATGTGAAATTTGTCTGACACACTTAAAAATATTTATCAAAACATTCTAATTTCCTTGTAATACTATTAACATGGTCAATCATTCTGAACAAGCAGTAAATTCGTCATCTGGCTTAGTACTGAAAATTCATTTATTCAGTTCACATAACTGTGTGTTAAAGGAAACCTTACCCATCACGGTGTCTCTTTTGTTTTGTTGCCCTAAGTACATCAACACCTACATCAAAGCATTTGGCAGAAAAGACATAATTAGCAAGAGACACAATCAAAGGAAAACGTTAGTCTTTTAAGAGATTTTGAAACTTAAAATAAAATAAAAACCTTCTTTTGAGGTTCGATTGATCCTTGAAACAGATGTTTTGACAATCAAGAAGGACGTGGATCAATGTTGCAGGGGCTTTATACCTCAGGCCTAAAACATAAATCTCAGCTGATGCTGAACGACTAGCCGCTGGTTTATCCACCTCAACCTTCTCAAATAACTGCAAACCAAACCAAATCCACATGTCAAACAAAAACAAAACTTTACACAGATATTATCACAAAATATTTTTAAAAAGTGAAGAAAAAAATCACCTGCTTGAGACAATAGAGAACAGAACTGTAGTCTTGGGACCTAAAAAACCTTGGTTACAAAAGTGCCTTTAGGAGCAAGAAACTGGGTAGCTAGCTTAACAGAATCAATAACCAAAGCATTTTGGGACATGTGCCTCCTGAGCCCAGGCTCCACCAACGTTAGGGGACCCATCATGCAAAACCACATCAAAAGCCATAGCCCCATGCTCTTCCATGACCCGTTTAATTTTGGACTTACATTCGGATTTGGTTATGTCTTGTTGAAAGAGCGATGCACCTCGTATGGGAGCGATTGGAACAAGGTCGAGACCGAGTACGAGGCTGCCAACAGGAACACGCTGGACAGCAACTTGCATCCAACCGCCAGGGGCGCGCAGAGATCAAGACGGCGTGGGCAGAATTTAGGAAGGAGAATTTGAAATCGAGTTGGACTAGCTTCCATGATGCTCTGGAACGGTAGCCTGTTCCTTGGCTAGTTGGTAGTACTTGTCTAACCTATGCTTGCCTTTCACTTTACCCATATCCCTTTCTTCAATCCAATCGAATGTCCAACTGCAGGAAGAAGCAGAAGATGACGAAGGAAATTGAGGGGATGTGGGTTTTTTTTTTTTTTTTTCTTTTTTATATAATTGAAAAAATAAACTGGCTCTCTGGGTTTAGGGTTTTGCTTTTCGTCTTGGGTCTTTTTCCTTTGGGCCTGGGGACTCTTTTACCTTAGTTCATGGACATTCATGACCTGATTATTTATCCAAATATTTTTCTTTTGGAATTTGAATATACAAACAAAACATGGAGAATTCGTAAGATTCATTTTCCTTTTAACATGGAAAATACATTATTTATTGGAAATCAAATTACTAGGATATGAACTCGAGTTTAGGTCAATTGATTTATATAAAATCCTAATACTTGCAAAACCTTTTCTTGTCATCAGATTACGACCTTTTATATACCAAAAAAAAATGTTAGGTTCTTCCCCTCTAATTCTGATGAAAGTAAATTAATCATTTTAGCTATGGTGGTAAGGAGCTACGAACCACTCTCTTGGAAACACGAGTCCACGATCCAAGCCTGCAATTGACAATACCTTGTCTCCCTTCAAATAGCATTTCTGAATTCGGAACAACAATTGTGGAAAACAGGCCCCAAATTGTGAATAAACGTGCAATGCATAAGGAAGAACTGCTGTTTTGCACTTGAATCCATGGAATACAAAGAGAGAAAATTAACGCCTACAAGCTGTCAATGATGGTTCCTGATAAGAAATTCGGTCTTGTCACTAACAATTAGCTACTAGTAATATTGAAGAGCGCAGGAGTGAAACAGCGCAGGAGTGAAACAATACTGTGTTGTACAAATTACTTGCAAGTAATCTCTAAAACTTTGATCAAATCTTCATCACCATGTGTATAAACAATAAAGTTTCAGTTCTGGGATGTCAGCACTTCTTCACTGGGGCAACATAACCTATGTTTGTAGTAACAGCATATTAAAAATCCATAACAACATAAATGCATCTCCTCCAAAGGTGAAAACCAATTATCATGAATCATCATCAGAATGCTAATTTTCCCTTTTTTCACCAGGTCCTTTACTGCTTCTCCAGTGAACCAGCCAAGCTTCAGTCCCCACGGGAGCCACTGCTACTTGCAGAAGCTTTCTTACCGGTGTACTTCTGTTGAAGAGAGAAGAATAAAATTGTTATCTTTCAAGCAGACAAATGTTGGAGACTTCCCTGTCCCCTAGTTATTAAAAGTACAACCTGAAGGCACTAGCAGATATAGTTGCAATTATAAAGTATAACTAATTTTTTCATCAGAAGCTGACCTGCTTTCCAATGTTGAAGGGGATATACTTGTATTTGATCATGTGTGCAATTTGACGCCTCATTGTAAGGACAAAAAGAACAATCCAATAACAAAGCAATATAGGCCAAAAGACAGGGACATCAAATACGGAAAAAAAAGTCATGAAAAATGCTATGCAGAAAGCCTTTGTCATGGAGTACCTGCAAAAATCATAACACAGAAGAAATATTATATCCATCTAAATACCCATTCATTAAGCACAAATTCATACAGATCTCAAGCAAGACAACAAGATTCCAAATGGATGAAGAAATATAATCGACTATGGCAAATAATGACATAGGTCCACTCACAACTAGTATCACATTTCCATGCTTTGAACAGAAATACTTTTCTAAGCTGCAATTCTTTGGGGAAAAAAAAAAAAAAGAAAAAGATTCTACATTCTAAAGAAGCAGTAAAATGCATGAGATTGAATACTTGACAATGGCAAGGAAATGGCTAATGCAATTGACAGATAAGAGCAAATGCTTTCTAGCATATTCTCCTACATTTCCAGAATCAGAAACTAGAAGTAGAACCCATTGCTGCTGGTTGTTGCTTGTACACATAATGCAAGATTGTTACAAATAGTCTTGCAAGAATTCTTGTGCCCCTGATTCAGCAAGCATGCTTAAAGAGATACAAGATAGAATGACAAAGGCCTGAATCTTACATTGCAACAAGTTAAGACAAGAAGGAAAGTCACATACCAAAGCTTTCTTTATAATCTTTTTCAACTCCATCAAGAGATTTAAAAAGGCAAACAGCCAATAACAATAACTAACACCTTAATTTCAATCGGATATAAGCTACTAAAATCATACCCACAATAAAGTAAGCCATCTTAAGTTAAAATATTAAATCATGCAGACATGCACTGACATTACCCAAGTTTCATCAATGATGAAAAGGCATAAAAGATCACACCATGTAACTGCACATCACATGTTTACACATATATTTTCTTTTTTTGGTAAAGGATAAAGGGCATGTTTCCATCTATCTCAAAAATCAGAAAATGTTTTTGACTTGGCCTAAATAGGTCAATAAACTTTGAGTAGATTGCTTCCCTTCATAAATCATATCACAAAAGATTTTGGCACAGAACATATAAAGGAACAAACATCATCAATAAATGATCTATAAAGCATCATTACAGAGAAGAAGCCAAAGATAAATTTTCAATTACCAGAACTTAAACTCAGGTAGCCTTCGAATAAATGGCTTGAATTCATCTGAACCTTTTGTTGGCAGTAGAGGCCCATCAGAAACTTCAAGCTCAGGATCAACCAGAGGAGACAGAAACCCAATAAGCAAATTCAGCAGGTAGATCCCAAGGCCATATGAAACTATGTAAAACCCTTGAACATAATAGACCCACAAACAGTATATAGCTGCTATAACAAGGGTGCCAATCCACCTATAAGCTGCATGAGGAGTAGTCTTATCCAGATAATACTGATATATCCTCCAAGCATCGTGCCCCCATCGAGGCAAAGGTGATGCCACTGATGCACCGTCACCTCCAATTCCCTCCATTCAATATTAGCTTCAAATCCTACATCATAAGAGAAGAATCCAATCAACTTAAGCACAAAGATTCATTAAGTTCCCAAAAACATCATCATTATAAGTAAACACTCGAACTCGATACTTGATCAAACACCCATCAATTTAAGCACTACTAGCAGTAAATCATCAAATATTACCACTATGACCATATGCAAAAAAAGACAAAGCAGAGTAGCTAGTCATTCTCAATCAATGAATCCAATGTAAAGAAAACCCTAATGCTATGTTTGTTTACCAAGAAAAATGCAAACAATTTTCATGCCCAGAATCTTTGAACAGGCATAAAAAGAAAAACCCATCAACCAAACGCGACAACCAATCAATCACCCATCACCAAAACTCCAAAGAAACCAAAAGAACATGAGATCCCAAAGTTTTCTCACCAACCAAACAAAAACCTAGTGCTTACAAAAATCAAAACAACTAAGCTTTGAAAACCCAGATCCAGAACAACCAAAATCCTAGATTTACAAAGCACAAACAGTTGATAAGAAAGAATCAACTATTAACAAGAAAAAAAAATGATTGAATGCTTAAAGAAAACGACTTGAGATCCTTGAAAAAAACAATCAATACAAAAATAAAAAGAAATGCCTTTAAAGATACAATTTTTGAAGCAGAAAAAAAGGCTGACCTCAAAGGACTCTCCGTTGTTAAGCTTTGGACTCTGAGAAATTGCTTTCTCTTTTGACAAGAGGAAGCGAGAAACAAGCAGATCTATTTGGAGATGGTTTTTTTTTTTTTTTACTGTTGATTTTCTGTTGACAAGAATATGCCCTTTAAGCTTTTCCTATGCCCACGTTGTGTTAGTAATTTTGTCAATATCTGTTTACTTTCATTTTTTAATTATATAAATAATATTTAAAAAATTATCACATATTTTATTTTTTAATTAATTTTATTTTTAATATCTTTTAAATTGTCAAACCATTTAATAGCTTGATAAAAAATGATAAAATATTCATAAAATTAAATATGATTGCCTTTTCTTCTTTTTTGTTTATTCTAATAATGCCATTAGCTTTTATATATTTCACCAATTTAATGAAGATGAGATTATTTATTTACTTAAATTCAAGCTATAAAAAAATCTATTTTTAGGTAAAATTTCTTTTGTCTGTTCCACACATGTGAAAAAAAAATCAAAATGGACAGAGGATTTAAACATTAAAATTTATCTTCTAAATAATAAATAATAATATTAATTTATTAATTAAATTAAAATTTTTTAATATAATAAATAAATTATAAATTTATTAATTAATATAATATTAAAAAAATTATTTATCTTTAATTTCTCATCATTTAAAATTAATTAATATTATGGGTGAAAACTATTTTGGTCAAAGAGCATAAACTTCGATCGTGATGTGATGGCAACTCAGAAGATCTGCTTTTGTTTTCGTCATTACTCGTGAATGGAGGTTAGTCCAATTTGAGATAGCTTTCGAATCGTGCAGGAGGCTTCCCAAAAAAACTTGAACGAAGTTTTTTCTGATAGAATTTATCTAATTTTTTTATTAAAAATATTAAATTAAAATTAAAATTAAAAATCAAAATTAAAAAATTTTGTTATATAAATTAAACACGTAAAATTTAATAAAATTTAAATACATTTTTATATATTTTTTAAATAAATATTTTTAATAAAAATATTAATAAAATTTTTATCGTTAAATAAATATAAATTAAATTTGAATTATAAATAATATTTTTAAATTTTTTACATATTATTTAATTTTATAATTTATTGATTTAAATTTTTTATTAAAATTTTTATTAAATCATTTTTAAAAAATTTTACAAATTTTACTTAAAAAATTTCATGTAAATTTTATCTAAAACCTCTACCTTTGGATCATATTTTAAACGATGATGACATATTCCTCCCAACATATTGACAGGGACGCTCTAGAGTACTCCCAAAATCCTAAGATTTTTCTCTGTAGTGCTAAAACATATAAGCAAGATCTTCCTTCAACAATTTGATTAAGCTGAGCGTTCTGAAAGCGGAAACCTGTGTTGGAAACCTATGTTATTACTGGCGAAGGGAATGTTGTACACTGCAATTGATTAGCATTTTATTTGCACGAGTGATTATTATTCCTTCTCCTTTATCCATAGTTCATTGCTTTCCTTGAAAAAAAATCAAGATTAAGTAGCAAAAGTTGTACACCTCTCTCATCAGCCAGTCTTGCCATTCAGAGCTCATTATTCTGATGCAGATCAGCACAGTTTTGAGGGCCAAATGAAGTTTCAGTCAGAAAATTTTGTTGATTTTCTTTTCATCAAGTAAGGGAAAGTGAAATATTTTCTCTTCTCTTCATGTAGTCGGAATAAAACATTTTATGTAGGTATAATTAATGATGCTTGGACTCAGAAGCTTGTATGAAACTAAAGTATAAATTCTGATGAATCAGGCAGAGTAAGTTAATGATCAGAAATTAGGGTTCCATCTTTGACCTGACAGCTAGTCTGTTCAAGAGCAGATTCGAAGAAACCTCCTCCATCAATGTTGGAGTTCATAGAGAGTGGAGCAAACTGAAGGATTATGTCTCTCAATGTGAGGACACCTAGTAGACGCTGCAAGTCATCAACCTGAAAACTGAAATTGTATTTGGTCTCTGCTACATTCTTCATGGCTTGCTTGAGAGTGTCAGTTTTCTTGTTGGTGACTAGTGAATCCATTCTTGGAAGGAACTTAATTTGTAGATGAAGAACTCCTGCTGATAAAAGAGCCCCATGTCTCGTTCAATGGCAGGATCACCGTCTGGATTGCTAGTCTCCGTATGAATGAATTCCTCCAGGGTTACTACCCTGTGATCAAGTCAAACATGTACAGCTTGTGCATGTCAATCAGGCAAGAAAATGTAGTGTAGGATTGGAAGGAAACATTGCTCACTTTCTATTGTGGAATAGATTGTCATTCTCCACAAGAAGATAAACATTACTGCTCCTGACACTACCCATAGGCCTTTGAGTTTGTCTATCTATGACAGCAATTGCACCTATTTGACTTTTGAACAAGATGTGAAGAGCCTTTGCTATGCTCTCATCGCCATACACACAACTTACATTCTCCTCATTTTCAAACCTGAATAGAAATGCAATAAACCGTGAAGGTTGATAATTAATGCTACCAAGTCATGATTCCTTTAAAAATGAAAGATGTAGTCTGAAGTATCTTTCAGGTTTTGCCTACCGAAATTCTGATAGAGGCTTTTCTGCAATACTGTCAAACCACGTGAGTCCATCTGATTGAAGAAGCAATTGGATAACTGCAATCTACAATAAAGGCAACAAGTTATAAAATTCAAGCATGCATTGATTTAATCAGTTACATTTGCTATGCCTTACAGGTCCCTATTTTTCTGAAATAAGCAACCTGTTTCTCAGGCTTTTTCCTGTTACCCAATTATATATTTCAGTGAGCTAAGTTTGTGGCCTTAAAGTACCTATGTAACAAAACCTATGACCTGAAGATCCGATTGCTCGACGACTGGCACAACTTGCACTGGGTGCTTTGAAAGCAGCAGCAGAACATGAAAGAGAGTATCCTCTAAGCGTACAGGGAAAAACGGATTCCATAGGAAAGATTTTGCCAACTCCCCTACCTGTGTCTCACACAGAACAAAAAACACAGGTCCCGTTGGTAAAATACAACACGAACTAAAGGCAAGGGTGCTTTAGTTGGACAATATCGTTTTATCCGTGAAAGCCATTCCGCAATTTCAAGATGAATTAATAACAAGAGAAAGGTAAAAAGACCTTCATGTGGCCAATTTGAGGATTCTGTTCAAGCAAGGACAAGAGGCTGCTTATGCCGGTCTCCTCACTAGCATGGCTATCAGTTGGGACACAAGCTTTTTCACATTTCTGGGAAGGGCATAACACGAGAAATGCATTTGGATACATCGAGAAAGAGAGAGAGAGAAGATGCAAGTTGGTGACAATGTGACTCAAGAAATTAAATATGTAAAATCAGATTACCTCAGGGGACCAGAGAACCATGGTAGCAAAATCAATAAAACCAATATATCGATCTGAAAACCTGCCTACTGTGATATCAGGGTCTAAAACATTTGCAATGGGAGCACCAGACACGTTCTTGGTATACAACTCAATTGCATCCTCCTCGTTATCCTCAGTTTTCAACTCCACTTGCAAACAGAAATGATAAAGAAAGACACAGATACCATACTCGACAATCGGATATCGAAAGAAACCAAGTTGGATTTTAACCTCCTCTGAGAATGGGCAATTATCCATAAATATCCATATGTCACAAAAGAATTACCAGGTGCGTTTTTTATGCCAGGGATTGAACTGTTGATGGGGATCCGATCAAGAAAAAGTTGAAGTGCACTAGCAGAATATTTTCCAAGGTTGTTTTCAACATAACCAGCCGTGGTGGTCTCTTTTGTCTCCCTCATTACACCTTCCAGTTGTCGCAAATCTGCTCTCCTCGTTTCTTGCATCGTGATTGGCCCACTATGTCCTGTTCACCTCCTTTGTTACTTGTTTCAGTTATGCCAAACTCTTTCTTTCTACTGCCTCCTGTTTCTCTCTCAGTTTCATGCATTTGGAGTCGTGTCAGTAAGTGAACCAGGCCACGTATGGAGATAAAACATGAGTGTGAACGGTGACCTACCGCGTGGAGCCTAACGCTTTCACTTTTGAGAGTCGCTGGTTGGAGGGTCAATTGTGCCTTTCTATTTTATGTCATTCTTTGATAGATGTTTTCAATTCACGAAGCCAAGGTTACTAGGTTAAGACCAAAGCTGAGAAACCATGCCCTCAGTGTCAGAGAGAATGACATAACCTGCTTATTGTAGCATGATGATATGGACATCAAATGGATAAATAAAAGCAACAGCCTTTCAGTCTCTCAAAAGATTTAATTCTACTAATTGTAAAAAGAAACAAGGGGCTGCTAAGCCACCTGATTTATTTTGGGAACTTCCGCGAGATATTGAGATCTAATAATCTATTTTTACACTGTCAGAAAGAACTTGTCAATTACATCTATGAATTAAATGGAGGAGAAAAAGCAGCGTTGGTTTTTTCTGCCGGCAAAAAATGCTGCATATGCCACCTCAGAACCTCTCCAGTAGAGGGTCATGCACCTGACTGTTTTCAATGGTGCCCACTTCAATTCCAATCTCTTGAGCTGTCCATGGAAGCATTAAGATTCATTTAAATAACTGTACCATCTTCTTTGTTGCCTTCTCTAGTATGATGGGTGATTTCCTGACCGGAGATAACAATCCTTCCTCTGGCTTATCCGCTTCTTGAACCCCCTACAAAATAAACAAACAGTTTGTTGATAGTTTAACAAATGCAGCAATATTTGAAGGTGCAGAAAAAAGCCATAATGAGTAGGATAGCATGCTTACATCTTTGTTCACAATGATCACATCTTTTCCTATCTTAGCATTCTTGTCAATTATGCAGTTCCTGCAAAGCAAATGCCATACATTTTCAGAATACGAGATTCTGATATTTTGTTTGACTCTCAGAATTTGTTATGCATGTTAATTTACCTGATTTTGGTATTGCGTCCAATTCCAATTGGGACCTTACCATCTGCTAGTAGTGAAGCAATTTCAGATTCAGTTTGGTAACAGTCTGCCCCCAACATTACCGTGTCCTGTAGATATGGAGTGAACATGTGATCCAATCAAACTATAAAGTTTAACGGTGTGTTTGGATTGAGGGGAAAGGAAGGAAAGGAAAGTAAAGTAAAATAAAGAAAACAAAATTCCGTTACTTTGTTTGGATAAATATTTAATTTAAAGAAAGAGAAAG